CTAACTGTTTGCTCTCCACATCACACACAATTTTGTGTTGACGACATTGTTTTTCTTGAACACCCTGGGAGTTTCAGAGTGATATATGAGTAAAGGCTTCACTTTGTAATCCCCATTAGCATTACTACAAAACATGAGAGTTAGCCTGTCTTTATTAAGCTTGTGTCCTGGGAGTGCCTTTTCCTCCTGAGTAATGTAGCTTCTGTTTGGCATTTTCTTCCAAAACAGGCCTGTTTCATTACAACTAACACTTGTTGGGGTTTTAATTGTTCAGCCTTTACATAGTCCTTGAACTCCTGTACGTACTTTTCAGCTGCTTTTTTGTCAGAACTTGCAGCCTCTCCATGCCTTACAATACTGTGTATGCCGCTACGATTCTTCAATCTCTCAAACCAACCTTTGCTGGCCTTAAATTCACTAACATCAGCACTAGTTTCTGGCATTTTCTTAACCCTTTGACTGGCATAACCCTAAATCCGAAAGTGTCTCCTGGTGCTGCAAAATTTTTTGAAAAAAAAAAAAAAAAAAAAAAAAAATCTTATGAAATGATAGAGAATCTTTGCCCGATGGTAATGACACCAAAAGTACAAAATTTGATCAAAAACTTACAGAATTACGTTCCTGCGAAGTTAGCGATCTCGCCGATATATATGCATCAGCGATTTCGCCGACTTTGAACCCTATTTCAGCCAATTCCATTGTTCCAGTCGTTCAAACTCATAGCTATTTCTTTTAGAACTCCATTTTTTCTATCAACTGAGTAAAAGAAACCCCATATTTGCTGATTTCAACTCCCCAATAAAGTGGTCAGAAATTGGCAATTTGGCCAATTTCATGCAAATTAAAAAAGATGCCAATTTCAAAATAGTGTCCAGAATAAACAATGCAGACATTCTTGGTACTAAAATAAACATATCCTCTGTTCATTAATCACATCTCCAGGCCCCTATTACATTACTCTTGCTTTCTATTTTGAATTTTTATTCACACAAAAAATAGAAGATTTACTGTTATGCAGACTACTGCATTATTATAAAAATGGTATAAATAAGATCAATGCACTAGTAAAAGAATATTAGACTCCCCAGTTGATGTGTATTGGACATGTGGTGTGATTTGCTTACTCTTGAACATGGTAAAAATCGAACATTTCCACTACTTTGAGCTCAATTTCAAGATTGTTTTCATCATGAAACTAATCAAAATCACCTCTATTTCTGTAATATGTTTCCCATTTTATCAAATGAGACCAAGAAAACGAGAATACAACCATAAATACTATACGAAAATACACCTCAAAATTGGTGTTTTAATCCAAAAACGCCATTTTTTTTTTTTCTCATTACGCACTGCGTGGTGCAGGATTTTTTTAAGTAGTGTACAATGACTACACAGACCCATTCTCTCACACGTGAGCCTACCAGCTTTCTCTCCTGCTCGATCTGAAGCCGCTAGAATTATTGAGTATACAGTAGACCCTCGCCTAACGATATTAATCCATTCCTGAGAGCTCATCCTTAGCTGAAATTATCGTTAGTCGAATTAATTTTCCCCATAAAAAATAATGGAAATCAAATTTATCTGTTCCTGACACCCCTATGAAAAAAAAAATTTTTAACCACATGAAATATACATTTTTATGCACCCAAAAAGAAGACATGCACAATTACTGCTCTACTAAATAAAGAATACATGACACTTACCTTTATTGAAGATCTGGTGATGATTGATGGGATGGGAGGAGGAGAGATGGTGGAAGTTGTTACTGTTTGGAAGGGGAATCCCCTTCCATGAGGACTTGAGGTAGCAAGTCCTTTTCCAGGGTTACTTCCCTTCTTCTTGTAATGCCACTAGGACCAGCTTGAGAGTCACTAGACCTCTGTCGCACAACAAATCTGCCCATAGAGCTCTGTACCTCAGGTTCCGTTAAAATTTGCCTAAATTGGGCCACAATATTGTCATTGTAATAGTCACCAGCACGGCTTGCAATAGCTGTGTTATTGTGATTTTCATCCATAAAGGTTTGCAGTTCAACCCACTTTGCATGTATTTCCTTAATCTCTTCTTTCAATTCCATACTAATTCTCGCCCTTTTTACCCCAGGGTTGGCACTAGAAGCATTCTTGGGGTCCATGGTGACTTATTTTGCAGTTACAAGCACTAAAAACACTGGGATAATGTGACATGTACTGAATGTTATGCGTAGATGCAACTGCACTGGCTAGCTTGTAAACACTGGCACCCACGGGGCAGCGTGGACAGGTCCCGGATGAATCACGTTGGGCGAGTTTTTTATCGTTAGGCGGGGCAAAATTTTTACGCTCAAACACTTCGTTAGGCGGATTTATCGTTATGCGATGCGTTTGTTAGGCGAGGGTCCACTGTATATACATCCGAAACACTGGCTAGTAAGACGTATATATACGGCGCCGAAACAGTGAAAGAGTTAATTAGATCATCATGCAACTGCCTTGCCTTTTCACATATTACTGACTGAGAAACACTATCTCCAGATAATCGTTTCTCGTTTATCCACACCAACAACCAGTCTCTCCACATCTTCGAGTACAGTGGACCCGACATTCGATAAATCCGGCATTCGATGCATTTTAACGCAAAAATTTCGCCTCGACATTCGATGGAAAACCCGACATTCGATACGATTCGTACGAGACATGTCCACATGTGGCCTGAACTGCCCCATGTGTGCCAGTGTTTACAAGCCAGCCAGTATGCGCACATCTAAGGATACATTCGGTACATTCCATATTATCACTGTTTTTGGTGCTTGTTTCTGCAAAATAAGTAACCATGGGCCCCCAAGAAAGCTTCTAGTGCCAACCCTTCAAGAAAAAAGGTGCTAATGACTATTGAAATGACGAAAGAGATAATTGCAAAGTACGAAAGTGGAGTGCATGTGTCGGAGTGCATGATGATTTGGTAAAGAAATTGCCTGCAACTAGTGGTGATGTGAGTGAATTTAAGGCCAGCAAAGGTTGGTTTGAAAGATTTAGAATCGTAGTGGCATACACAGTGTGGTAAGGCATGGTGAGGCTCCCAGTTCAAGTCCTAATGGAAGGGGATTCCCCTTTGAAACACTAACACCATCCACACTCTCCCTCCTCCCATCCCATCAATCATCACCAGATCTTCATTAAAGGTAAGTGTCAATTATTCTATTGCTATTAATCTATTGTTATTGTAATTATTCTATTGCATTAAACTTAATATTTCATGTGGTAAATTTTTTTTTCCATACTTTTGAGTGTCTTGCTCGGATTAATTTGATTTCCATTATTTCTTATGGGAAAATTAATTCGACTTTCGATATTTTCGACATTCGATAGCTCTCAGGAAGGATTAGTATCGAATGTTGAGGGTCCACTGTATTTGCGATCTCTGTTTTGTAAGCATACTTGCACCTTTCGTATCAACAGTTCCTTGATTGCCTTTTTGTTGGCCAAGAGAGTAGTCATGGTTGAATGGGGCTTGTTATATAACCTGGCCAACTCGGAGACACGCACTCCACTTTCGTACTTTGCAATTATCTCTTTCTTTAATTCAATAGTATTTCTCACAACTTTTTACCACAGGCATTAGAAGCTTTCTTTGGGCCCATGGTGGTTTATTTAGCAATTACAAGCACTAAAAACAATGTGGAATCGTCCACACTGGCTTGTAAACAATGGCACACTAGCTGAAGGCAGGGCGGCTCAGGCGCTCAGGCCGGCGGACAGGCAGACACGTTCAGGATGACTGCCCTTAACCAAGTTCTTGGCCATTAGCCGCACCAATATTTTGATGCAAAAATTTGCCGCTATCCGATTTTGGCGTTAGCCGATGCCGCCATTACCCGAGGGTCCACTATATCTGTGTTGGTAATCATTAAAACCCAAACCCCAAAAAATAATTAATGATGCCTAATGAAATTAAAAGAATACACTGAGGTTAGGTATAAGATAAGGTTTAAGGACTGAATCCCAAGGAAGAACAGAATGAAGATATACAATATAACTTTATGTAATCAGAATATTTAAATCCTTTTAATCTACAACATATGTACAAGTAGAGGTGGAAATAAGAAAGAAAGACTGTCAGCAAATAAAATATGTGGGGAAGGCATATGAATTGTCTGCTATAGAAATGGAGACAGCCAGTAAATACTGAATAAGTAAACATTCATTCAATTTGTTGAACTAGTACAGCCTCTCCTCACTTAGTGATGTACTCATTTATTGACCACTCGGACTTACGACGGACTCTCTGACCAGTATACATACCTAAATAATGTATATTAGAGCTGATTTCCTTTATTCTGTTTATTACAATATACAGTACACTACTGTATAAACATCTAATAGTATACCAGAAATGTTATGAATGTACAAAAGGGGACATTAAAACAATATCAAAGATGGTTGACACAAACCACTACCATAATAGTATGCTCCTCACTTAGTGACAAATTCGTTTTCCGACGTGGTCTTAGGAACAGAACTCCATCGTTAAGTGAGGAGAGTCTGTATAACGAAAAGTATCTGCATATCAATAACTTCACTTGATATTATATTTACCATGTTTTCTGTTCCATGCGCGTGTTCATGACCATGTAACGATAGATATTAAGTACGTGCTTGCACACCTCTACTTGTTCGTCAAGAAGACGTTGGATAGTCGGGTGAAACCTCCAGGAGGAAGACGTTTGCTGCACTTGTTATGAAGATTTGCAGAACATTCTGTAGAAATTACATGCCCTCTAAGCTAGATGCATAAAATTTCTTAAATGACAGGGCTTATCTTAGCATTTAATGCAGCACTGCTAAAAATCTATGAATAATACATAAAAGATAATTTAAAAATATGAATTTCTGAGATGAAAATTTAAACAATAAAACCAAATCCAAATATAAAATGAATTACATGAATATGCAGGTTATTAGCTTCATACCTGAAGTCCTGCCCGAATATGAATATCTTTATTGACAGCTCAAGGTAAGATTTCATTGCGCATACGCTCTCTGTTGGTTATTTTCTTGTGTAACTGGCCCATCATCCCTTGGACTAGCTCCTCCTTCTAATGGCTCCAACATAAAGGGTGGCATCTCAGGGGCCTGAAGCAGACATTTATAATAATGTATATAAATTACTAAGTTTCCATCTGTCTTACAATAAACTAATATTTAATCCACTAAACATATCTATAGCTTTGATACTTTATTCTCAATGGGAACTCTTTTGTCTATCAAAGTGGCCTCATGCTAGATTATTTCCAGCTAATTCAGTTAATTCCTGTTAAAAAAAAAAAAAAAAATTAAAACCTGTACCTAAAATTGAACATTCTGGCCCACAACAAAACATTTCACTTTCTTGTCTTGGGAAATGTGTGTGTGGAAAGGGTTTGGACTGTCTCATCTGTTATACTTGGGAAAGAAAAGTTGAAAGAAAAGCATCTGAAGAAAAGGCCCAAGCAAAAAAAAATCTGAATGAGAAAAACAGTATATATTTAAATGACAAAGGGTCAAAAACCAGAAATCACAATGTCACACTACAAGTGTAGTTAAAGACAACAATTCGTTACAAAGCCATGAGTCATGCCTTCAAAATTGACCACTAGTACCATCAGAGAGGACTCTAAGATCATAGCAATTTTTTACAAAGTAGTAGCAGTAAGCTTCTTACATGTTGAAACCCTTTTGGTATCCCTACAAATATTATTATTTTCAGAAATGTCCCTAGCACAGAATAATGCATCCAACTTCAAACAATGGACTCTCTTATTATACATCACATGATAGAGTGGATTGAGGGGCAATGTAGCAGATGTTGCAAGTGTATGGAATAGGTAGAAAGTTACAAAATTTTGTAAAGAGTTTTAATGATGTGTGAGGCTCGGGTTTTTGGGTATGTACAGTGGGGGAGATTACTTCCCAGTAAAAGTAGGTCTTACACGGGGATGTGTAATGTCCCCATGGTTTTTTTAACATAAGGGAACCTCTGGTCCAAACCTTCTGAAACAAAAAATGGGTTTCCCCCAAAACCCAAAAAAAAATTCGCCAAATTTTTGCAACTGGCCAGAACACACAATGGGTCCAAAAACAAACACAGCCATGCCAATTTTTTTTTCCGTCCCATTTTTTTGCACCGCCAATTTTTTCCCCATTTCCCCTGTGTTTTGGGTACATGTAACTCTGCTATTTAAGGTTTTTCTTATTAAACTGTGCTTTATTTTGCATAATTAAGGTTTTTTCAAACTTTGATTATTTTTTCGTGTGCTTAATCAGGTTCAAGCTTATAAATGGGGTGGGGTTTTAACCCTTAAATGGTCCAAACGATTTTAATTTTTTTTCAACATCAAAAGTATGTAAAAAAATGTAATTTCTTTTTTGTTTTACATTTGAAAATGTGTAAAAAAAACTTTTATCTATTTTTTTTTTTGTTAACAGTGGACCCCAGTTAACGATATTTTTTTTTTTCCAGAAGTATTTCGGGTGCCAGTACTGCCGAATTTGTTCCCAAAAGGGAAATTGGAAGTAATTATCCATTTCAACCCCCCAAAAAACACGTACAAATGCCTTACTAAATACCTTACAAAATTGGTCACATTGGGGGGGAAAACGCTAAGCGGGGGTCCCCTGTATTTAAAATTGAAAAAAAGTAGATCTACTTTTGTGCACAACGAATTTGAACTCGATCTGTTTGGCCCTTTTAAAGGGGTTAAGACCTGAACCTGTTTAAATAAAAAATACCTTCAAATTATTGTCCTACTACATACTGCTTGTCACAGCTTACCCGGGGCGAGTGCCCCCTATAATGCCGGACAAAATAAAGGCCTTTCATCAGGGGGGGGTTTTTTTTTTCATCAGGCTTTACGCCCGGAAACCCAGCCATTACTGAGTCACGGGCCGCCGCCCACACATAACATGACCCCCCTCAGCTTCACAGGGCTGCCGTGGTAAGAGGAAGTTTGTACTTTTTTCTCTCACCCACCCCATCTTTTGCCCGGGTTCCCTTTGGTTTTTGAGGCATACATAGGCTTCACAAAATGGGCACCAGAAAAAAGAAATAGGAAAAAATTTTAGTATCTGTGAGTGTTCAGTGGGAAATTGGGGGTAGCGTTTAAAAGGCTGGTGGTGGTGTCGGATATTGTCTGCCAAACCTACCCTGGCGCCTTGAAGAAGACTCTGTTCTTTACCTCAACTGGTTAAAAAAGCAGTTAGGATACTCAAAGATAACTGCTAGAGAATTGAAAGAAAAGAACCCACATCTTCTTCAGGGGGTCTGTAAAAACTGTAAGCAGCGTGTTCAGAACTTGGCTCGTAGCACCACCAGGTTAAAAACCAACCCTCTCCAAGCCACAGGGGAAAAAGGGGGCGGGATTAGCAAAGAAAATACTTAAATGAAATCCCAACACGGTTTCGAAGTACTTTGGATTTTGAAAAACAACCGTCCCCATTACTTTAACCGGGTGAACTGTGTCCACCCAAGATAGTGACCCCTAAAACCCACGCTACACCTGTGGGACCCCAAAACCCAGGGTTTGGGGGTGTTTCAGTATTTAAGTGTTGGAAAAACCATTTGTTTTCCAAAAACCAGTAATGAACCATATAATTCCTGGGGTTTTTTTGTAACCCTGAGGGATTTGACAAGTGTGGGGCCACAGTTTTATGCAGGGGTGCACTGTGCCTACCCCAAATCGTAGTTCAGTGGCTTAAGGGCTGTGAAGGAGGTTCTTTAATACTGGCCAAGCTTCCCCAAACTTAAACCCTTTGAGAACCTTTTTTCAAAATGAAACGAAGTTTATGGGGAAGGATACAGTTCCATCCCACAGCTGGTGCTGCTCTCGTGAGGGATCGAAAAAATCCTCCCCAAACCCTCAGAATTTGTGTGAGACTTCCTACTGGCTGAGGGACTGAAAGCATAAAGGACACAGCAATAAAGTATTATCCCTTTCAGGGTTTTTGCCGTTATAGGTTACTGCCAGGGGTTTTTTACTACTAGTATGCATAAATTCTAGCACCCCTTCAAATCTTGGGGGAAAAGGCTGGTAGGCCTAGATTTGGGGAAGGGGGTGGTGGGCATGTGTGGGGTAGAAAAAAATCTGGACCCCTGGCTTTGTTCAACCCTCCTCGCGTAAGAAATCCTCCCCTCGGGGAATTGGGACACTCTTGTTTCCCCCCCCGGCAGTTCTAAAACAGATGCAAGTGCCATGAAGATGAGTTTTTAGGTTTGGTGAGGTTTTTTGACCGAAACTAATGACCATAATATCGGGAAAAGTGAGGAAAACCCCGAGACCCTCACCTTCCACCTCGCTGCTGGCCGTCTGTTCACGTGTTGTACCAAATTAGGAAAAAAACTCCTTTTGCCCCAAAACCCCGACTCAGTGTGAGCATTTGGGGGATAGGATAGTGAAATGAAATACAAGTCTTGAAAAAACTTCAGTAACGATAGTGAAGTGGAATATTTTCCATAAGCGTTTTTAAATTTCCCCACGATATATGTGTCGGTAGGTGCCATATGCTTTTCCAAGGGGAAGGAGTACATCTCGGAGTAAACCCATGGCTGTACAACAGGAACAGACAATGAAAATGACGATTTATAGTGTTGCAAATTTGGGGTGGAAAATGTGCTGGGGTGGGGTGGTGCCGCTGTGAGGCCCCCCCGTGGGCCTCTGCCCCCCCCGCTGCCCCCACGCCCCTGCCTCAGCTGATTTTCAACAAAGGCCCCATCCCCCCCCCACCCCCCACACCACCCCCACAACCACAACCTCCACAACCACAACCACCTGTCAAGTCCCGTACCTACACAGACAGACCTGGATTGGGAGGAAGCTGTCCCCAAATTTTTTCCAAAAAACCCCCCCATTTGTTTTAAAAACCAAAATGGAATACGGCCAGTTTTACACTGGGGAAAAATGCCCCTGAACTGGAATGTTTAGTTATTCTTTGACGAAACCCCCGATGGAAATTATTGTCAGGGAAAACAACAGTATACGAGTACACCATGGCAAACACAATACTTTTACCAAGCTCACGCTACACAAGTGGAAGGAGAAAACTGTGGCTGAGATGTACTTTTCTTTGCCACAAAAATGCTTATCCACAGGGGGATAAGCCCAGCGGGAAATCATACGGTCAACAGACCCCCTGATTTCAACTCCAGTTTCAGTGATATAATGGGGTGCACATTATTATGCTTTACTTCTCAGACAAAAACCAGGGCCCGACAGAAATGACAGGTTTTTTAAAAAATTGGAATGTGTTTGTGTATCTGAAAGGAAAATTTAATTGTATTTTTATCCCTTTAGGAAACTTTTAACTGACGATCTTTGATTTGTTCAAAGGAAGACTCCTTTTCAAAAAAATAATACCAAACAAGAGAAACGCTTTCGTATAAAGTTGTTTGTACTTTTATTGTTACAGGGTCTTGTATTGGAATTATTGTGTCCGGAAATTTACATTGCAAAATGCCAGGGAAATTTTGGCATCTCTGGTGATGGGGTTTGAACAAAGATAGAAAAACCCTACCTTTGGGAAGGGCATATATTATATACTGAAAATGGTACACAACCCCTCACTCGTGATTTTTTTGCGAGTGAAAAACGCAGATGTGGTGGCACAGTGCATGCAAATCAAACTTTATGCCCCCGGTTTTTAGCTGGCACCATAGAGGTGAGGTGCAGGCATTTGTTGCCAATGACATCATGGCATTTCGGTGGCATGACAAACGAGATGTCACACTGGTGTCATCAGTTCACCCTAACGAAATGACAAACACTGGCAGGCAGCATAGAGAGAGCAATGAACCCATTCTAAAACCTGCAGCTGTGATTGATTACACCCTCAATATGCGCTCAGTGGACAAATGTGACATGCAGACTGGGTTTGCTGATTGTGTTCGCAAGAGTTATATGTGGTACATAAAACTCTTTTTCCATCTTCTGGACATTTCCATGCTCAATGCTTATAATATGTGTAAGATGAGGACCAGAAACAAACCACCATATGGCAAATTCTGTTTGTCTGTCATCAGACAAATAGTATTCAAGTACAAAGGAAAAACACCTGCAATAGACCGCCCACTAAATTATCAACAACTACCTTCTTGTCTGAAG